TTACTAATATAAAGGAAGCTTTTCCCTAGTAAACTTTAGACTTAATTTCTTTATAGTTAATAAGGAAATTCTTATAAGATACTATATATCTAGTAGCTCTAGTATTATATATAAAATTAAAGATCCTTTTATTCTTATAACTAGGAAATCCTCCTTCCCTTACCTTTAAGACTAATTCCTTTATTCTAGGAATTAAGGCTTTTAGAGGTCCTAAAAGAGAGTCTTTATTAGCTTCTATTATAGGGGTAATTATAGAGGTTAAAATTACCTCTAAATCCTTAAACGTATATATAGGGGTCGGAGCCTTAAAGAGGTCTATAAGGTCGATATCTAGGTCTATATTATCTTCTTACGAAGCTATATTTAAGACCTTATTACTATCTTCTAAATTAGACTCTAGCTTAGTAATTCGAGCCTTCCCTCTTTTATTAGTAATAGAAATGCTACTAGAAGGGGATTTCTTCTTAAAAGAAGAAGAAGAAGAAGATTTTCTCTTCTTAGAAATTTAAGTCTTATTATCCTTTTTTCTTTTATTTAATACCTAATAAGCGGGAGCCTTATTCGGGTATAATTTATAGTAATTTACTATAAAATGCCTTGTTTTTTTGCATTCCTTATAATAAGGAGTATCTATAGAATTTCTATAGGATTTCTAAGGCTTCCTTTATATTAAGAAGGCTTTCTCCGAAGATTCGTTTATATCCTCTATTCTTCTAGCTTTATCTAAGAGACTAGCTATAAGGGTTTTAAGGGTAAACGCCGTATAATTATACCTAAGGCTCTATATAATATTTATAATATAGCTTCTAAGTTCCTTATTAAGGCAATTAAGAATCTATACTATAAGAATAACTTCTAGAATTTCTATATTATAGGATTTTAAATCCTCGTAGATTTCCTTTACCTTATAAAGGTATTTCTCTAAATTAGAGTCTAAGGGACTAAGATTAAAGAGCTAATTAATAAGCAGATAATTCGACGAAAAATTCGACGGATTATATAGCTTTTTAAGCTTATCCTATACTTCTTTAGTATTTTTTAGATACCGAATTTATATTAAGGGACTATCTTCGACTTAAAAGAATATTATAGATAAAGCCTCTATAGTCTATATATAATTTACTTACTTTAGAGTAGTAATAAGCTTTTCTTTTATAAGGATAGCTTCTATCCTTATAGTCTATAAGGTATAATTTAAATTTCCCTTAAGTCTAGTAAATTCGTATTCTTTCTATCTACCTATTTTATATAAATTCGGTATTATTTCGTTCGTAGGGATTAAGAAGTCTAGACGGGAGTTTAAGAGCGTAGGAAGGTAGAAGAAGTCGGGGGGAATTTCGAAAGCAATTTTAATCGGGTATTTCGACAAGGAATTTTAAAGGTATAAGCTAATTTCCGGGCTTAAAAGAAGTAAGCCGGGCTTATAACCTCTTAAGGTATATAAGTAAAAGCGGAATTTTAGGAAATTAAGGAATTATATAAGACTACGTAATAAAGGGGAAGAAGGAGTATAAGGTAGGATTTTAGCTTTACGGTACTAACGGATTCCGTTATTACTATACGTATAGTAGTTAGTAGCTTTATCTTATAAAGGTATTCCTTATAGTAACTCTTATAGTCTCCTAAGGTGTAGAAAAAGCTTTCTACTATACGGAGGTTAGCTTAGAGAAGAGGGAAGCTCCCTCTATAAATTCCGTTACCCTAGGATAAAGAGAGGGCTTAAGAGGGTCCTACTTATTAAAGAAGACTAAATTATAGATAGTTCTATCTATACGAGCCTATAGCTCCTTTACCTACTTATCTTAATCTTAAGGCTCTATAAGAATCGTCCTATAGACTATAGGGGCGGCAGAGTTTTTTTTTAATATTATTATAGAAGAGGGTAGAAAAGTCGGTTAAAAATCGGCTTTTCTAGTAAGAAAGGTAAAAGGAAGCTATAAGGGATATAAGAAAGGCGCCTTTTATAGTAGCCGGAAGGTATAGGAATACTATTCCTCCTAGGCTTATAACTCTTATAAAGAGAAGTATAAGAAGTATATATAAAATATATAAAGGTAAAAGTAAAAGTAAGGGGTTAGATAGGTAGGGCAGAGATATTTAATTCTTATAAGGGCAGTAATTATAGTAGGGGAGTAATAATTATATTGCCTTAATTATCCTTCTTTCCTCTATCTAACGCCCCTCTTTATACCTATCTAGTATTTTAATTAATAAAGAAGATCCTACTTAAAAAAGCTACTAATGTCCTCTTAATTACCGAGCTTTTTACCGATTTTTCCCCTCCTTTCTAGCCGTTGCCGGTATATCCGTCTTATCTCTCGCTACCTCTATAAGAAGTTATCGCTACTTTTACTTCCCCTCTTACCCCTACCCTCCTCTTTATACCTCCTCTTAGCTCCTTCCTTAAAACCTGTTTTTTAGCTTCCTAGGTCCCTCTTACTAAGGGATATCTCTAAGAACCGCGGAATTAGGCTACGCTTCGCGATAATAATAAGCCCTTTTCTATTTTTCCTTAATACCCTTATATTATAAAAGGACTTAAATAAAACCTATAATACTTATAACCTTATACTTAAGCTAAGTTAAATCTTAAAAAGTATAATATTTTAGTATAATAATAGCTTAAGAAGCTATTAATTAAGACCCCCTTTTTAATAATAGTTTTTATATTAATTACTACCTTTAAAACCTTAATAAGCTATTATTATAAATCCGCGATCTTAATATTATTATAATTATATATAGCTAGCCTTATAATAATAAACTACCTATATTAAGTTCTCTTATAAGAATAATATTATAACTAATAGTAATAGTAATAATAGTAATAGTAATAATATTATTATTATTATAATAGTACTTAATTTAAATTAAGGTAGCTTAAAGTAGCTTAATATAAGTATTTAAAGGTACTAAGGGTATAATAAAATAAATAAACTTAGGTATAGTCCGCGATCTCTTTTAGCGTTATAATAAAGATTAACTACCTAAGGAAATATAAAGGGAACGGGATTAAGAAAAAGACGCGGTAAGAGGGGCGCGCCGCTAGCTTCGTTAAAATAACTAGCTTCGTTAAAGTAGCTAGCTACGTTAAGCATTAAAGGAATCGTTAAGTAAGCGCCGCCGCCGCCGCCGCCTATATAGCCGTAAGGGCTAAGGAGGAGCTAGATTAATTAATAGGCCGATTATTATAACTTTAAGCTTAAGGCCTAGAAATATATTATTTAAGCGAATTAAGAAGTATATATTATATAGCTTTTATTACCTTTTATATATATATATATATATATATATATAAGCGGGTAGGGGCGAGGGCGTATAGGCGGTACTACTACCTCTTATATAGGCGCGGTATAAATAGGCGGGGCGGGCTAGTACTAGTATATATCTTAATAATAAGGCCTTTATATAAATAGCGATATATCTTTATATAAATAGTAATACTTTATTATATTAATTCGCTGCCCTTAATCACTTCTATATACGCTCTTAAATACTTATACGAGAGTAACCCTATATAAATAAGAGTTGCAATCTATAGAAAGATCTCTCTAAGAGACGTCTCTAACTAGCTATTCTTGTCGCGAAGACTATTGCGCCACACAGGCAAAAGTGGAACGCGCGCTCCGACAGGTGCGCTGTAATCGACACATATGTCTGACAACCGCGTTTTCCGACACACCCCCTCAGGGATCGCGGCTCCGCCGGGATTCCTAGACCGCAGCCCAAGACGCGGGAGTCGAACACCAAGCACCGCGCCCATTACCTAGTGAAATCCAAGAGAAGGAGGGGTACACGGCTATCTACGGGTATTACCCCGCAACGCGGGGTAGTTTGCCACCCCCTCCCGGGCTCATAACTCTCGCGAAGAGAGATGCGAGAAGTGCATATAAAATGCACGAAGGTAAAATTAGAAGTAAGGGGTCGGATAGGCAGGGCAAAGTTGTTTAAATCTTTAGAGGGCAATAATTACGGTAGGGAGTGATTATTATATTGCCTTACTTCTCCTTCTTTCCTTTACCTAACGCCCCTTTTTATATCCTTCTAGTATCCTAATTAATAAAGAAAATCCTACTTAAAGAAGCTACTAATGTCCTTATAACTACCGAGCTTTTTGCCGGTTTTTCCCCTCCTTTTTAGCCGTTGCCGGTCCCTCCGTCTTATCTCTCGCCACCTCTATAGGAAGCCATCGCTACTTCTGCTTCCCCTCTCTCCCCCACCCTCCTTTCTGTACCTCTTTTCAGCTCCTTCTTCCTTCTTCTATACCGGTGTTTTTAGCTTCCTAGATCCCTCATGCCTAGGGATATCTCCGAGAACTGCGAAATCAGGCCACCCTTCGCGACAATTCTCTCGCGAATACTGCTGCTTTGGACCCTCTAGGCCCGGCCTAGGACCATTATTCGTGTACCCGACCCAATCTTCGACTAAGGATTCGGGTAGAAATTGCTAGGAAGGTAATAACGGCGTTGGTGGCAGCTGTCGAACTTATGGCTCGCGCTCGGGAACGTAAAAAGGGACGAATTTGGGGCCCCGTTTAGGCTCGGGGTCAAATAGGGGGCGGACTGGGCCGTCGATAGGCTGCTCGCGCTGACAGTGGTCCAGCCGCACATAGAGGGTATGTTCGAAGCTATTTACAGCTACAATAGCTACCTACAAAGCTTGTGGATCTTGTTGCGAATTTGTTGAGCTTAATTTGAATGCGTTGCTAGGAAAATTGGCTATTAAAGGTTTTGCTAATACTGCTAGCCCTTGAATGCGTATCTTACATATAGCCACGTACTGTGGGGCTCGTGACATGTGTGCGGTCCCTCGGCACTCAAAGGGATACTGTGCGGGAGGCCGCCATAGCGCTCATTGCAAGGGGGAGAGACTGAATATCCCATGCAACGGTTTGTCCTGGTTTATCGCTGTTCTAGGTCTATCTCTACCAAGTTTACATTGACGTGAGTCAAAGGCACTTTGATTTATTTGCCTTTTTTAACTCACAACAGATATCCCCTCTATCCGAACAGTGTGTCCAGCGTCTTTTCGAAAACGTGCCTTGGCAGTTCAGAGTTAGCAGATTGCAAGAGACGGCTGAACACGGGAGAAACTCACTTGGGCGGCTGGGGTATGTAATGCTGCTCATAGTCTTCAATGGCAGCTAAGTCTCTAACCAGGTCCACCTCGATGGGCTTGTAAATCCGCGTTTTGTGGATTACCTTCCAGGAGAAGTACAGTATGGGGAACATGGGGATCATGGTGTACCTTGCAGAGCGTCAGCCATGGCTAAAATGGCGGAAGACGGGAAGAGACCAGTCTCGTTGCATCGATCAAGAACTCACGAGAAGAGGAAATCGGGAACCTTCCAGAAGCCCGGAAGCGGCAGGAACACCGTGTAACCGCCCGCAAAGGCCATGGTCAGGGTGCCGACGAGGCCGTACCAAGCAGCATAGGGCATGAAGCGCGCCTTGTAGGGCAGGGCGTCGCGGCTGAGACCCTGGGCCTTGAGGGCGCGGTAGAAGCAGAGGTAGGTGGCGCAGACGACGGCGTAGTTGATGAGCTGGGACGCGGTGACGAGGGAGACGAGCCAGCTGAGGACGACGGCGGCGCTGGACTCGATCTGGAGAAAGGCCACGAGGGCAAACAAGAGGACAAAGACGACGCAGTAGACGGGGACGCCTTTCTTGGTGCAGCGCGTCAGGAGCTTGGGGGCCTTGCCCTCGAGGGCCAGGCCGTAGAGCGAGCGCGAGGCGCAGTAGACGTACGAGTTGCCGGCGGAGAAGGCGGCGGTGAGGACCGTGGCGTTTACAATGTGGGGGAGGACGCGGATGCCGAGGCGGTTCATGGCGACGACGTAGGGCGAGGCTGCGGCGCCAGGAGCAGCGTCCTTGAAGGCAGACACGAGCTCCGGGTCGTTGTAGGGGACGAGGATGCCCACGCACAAGGAGCCGAGGATGAAGAAGGCTGTGAGGCGATAGAAGACGGCGTTGTAGGCGCGCGGCATGACGGAGCGCGGGTTCTCGGCCTCGCCGGCGGCCATGGAGACGTAGTCGGGGCCGGCAATGGTGAAGGCGGCCTGGATGAGACACTGGAGGAAGCCGAGCCACTTGCCGAGCCCGCCGTCGTAGTACAGCTCGGCAAAGGCGCCGGGGTCCTTCCAGAAGCGGAAGCCGAAGCGGTCGCCGGCCGGGTTGCCGCCGAGCATGACGATGACGGTGAAGATGATGAGGCCGACAGCAAGCAGGACCTTTCCGACGGCGGCCCAGAACTCGGTCTCGCCGTACCAGTGGACGGCGAGGAGGTTGATGACAGCGTAGAGGACGACGATGGCGACGATGACGGCGGCGGTGGGGATGGCGTCGGTCCAGTAGCGGATGATGAGGTTGCAGGCGACGACCTCGAAGGGGACGAGGGCGGCCTCGAAGACGAAGAAGTTCCAGCCGGCGGCGAAGCCAAAGGCCTCGTCGACGTAGCGGCCAGCGAAGCGGATAAAGGGCGACGAGATGGGCAGGTAGGTGACCATCTCGGCCATGCAAAAGGTGATGGCGAGGATGAAGGTGCACCAAAAGGCAAAGGCGAGGAACAGGCTGCCGGGGCCGCCGGCGAGGAGGGCCTTGCCGATTTGGACCTGGAGGGCGGCCTATGAGCTCACATGCTTTTATATATCCAGGGGACATGTGACTGGGGAGCGAGAGGGCGTGAGAGAGAGAGGGGGGGGGGAGACGCACATAGAGGACGGTGCCAATGGTTCCGCCAATTCCAATCAGCTGCACGTGGCGGGCCTTGAGCGAGCGATGGGTCGAGTCGAGCCTGGAGCCGCTCGACAGCGAGGCACGGATGCTGTGCCGGGACAGGGCGGGCCTGCCGTCGGCCTTGTCGGGGTCCCGCTCGGAGGCGTATGCCGGCGGGGGCGGCGGCCCCAGAGCCGGAGGGGCTTGGATGCCGGGCGCGTCCATGGAAGCTGCCGACAAGGGTCGCTCGGCGGACGCCTGCGGAGTGCGTCGCCCACGGGAAACCTAGAAAGCTGGGCCGTGGTTGGCGCGGGCGGCTCGCAAGGCAAAGGCAAAAAGGCGAGGGAGCGAGACGGAGACCCTAGCAGAGCTTGCATGCCATGGCCTGTGTGGCACTGCGTCGCAGCTCGGCAGGGAGAGCGGAACCGGAGGAAGTGAGAGAAAAAAGAGAGGGAGAGAGAGAGAGAAAGACGCGCGTGGTCGCGAAAAGTCGGTTCCGGGTTTGAGACCAAAGTTGGACGTGATGGCCGGGGCGAGCGCCGAAGTCTGCCGGCCCGATTATGGTCGAGGCCAAGGGAGGACGGGCAGCTAGAGGGAGAGGAGGGCGAAATCTACAGAGTGGGAAAAAAGGGATCCAAGGGGAGGAAGGCCAGACGACGCCTTGCTACATGTATTGTCAGAGGCTGTCGAGAGCGTTTTTTTTTTCTTGCCTCGCCTTGGCTTCGTCGTCCATGTTACGCAGGGAAAAAGCCAAGGCAGAGGGAGCGGGTCCTCGCTGGCCTTGTGCCTGCAGCGGCACGCTCTCGTGCACTCCGTGATTCCATAGGCATTCGAGAAGAGCAAGATGGAAGTTGATGCTTCCATGTTTCTAATTAACCGGCTTCAAGCCTCCAATCGACCCGCCCGTGTCCCCGACTCCAGGCTTTCCTGGGGGAGAGAGGGAAAGCTCGGTGCTTTAAAGGCTCGCTCGCAGGCAACATTGAAATCGCCGCATGCATGGGAGATGTGAGGCAACATGGAAGCTCCAGTTCCACTGAAACCATGACGGCCAATCACCCAATTCTCAGCTCCAGAGCAAACAAGCACGTGCAGACATGGGTGTTGGCCGAGTCCGCCTTGCCGGGTCGATGATGCCGCCGCACCTTCACTCCCCCCAATCACCAACCGGCCTCTCGTAATCAAGCTGGTTCCCAACGTAAAGAGAGACGTTTTATCGAACCAGCCTGTCAATAGTAATTCGTCGGCCAATCTGTTTGGACAATAACCGAAGTTCGAAGAAATCCAACGATGCATTTCACTCCGGACCGAACCCAACATCAATCGAACGCGTCCAAAGACAGAGAAACCCAACGGTCCAGTGATACACTTTTCTTCAAGCAAAGGCTGGTATAGAAACTTCATCGCTGCCACGGAGAACCCAAGAGACCCGTCTTCGCCCCTTCAGCCATCCGCTCCCTCCCAACATCGCAGCCGCTCCTCCAAATTATGTCGCCTGTGCTTGTGCTCCAGCAGTCCCCGGCAGCCGTCATCCTCGGTCAGCTTCGCCTCCCTCTCTGCCTCGTCGCTTGTCTGTCGGCCCCTTCCAAGACCATCAGCGACTTCATAACCCAAGTGCAAAATGAAAGATACGTGACAACAAAGTCGTCCAATATGTACAAGTTCTCGATGCCAAGCAAATCCTACGACCCCGGTCAACTGCCGCTCTTCGTCACTCTCCTGCAACTTGGCAGGCTGAACTGCGGAGAAAGAGGGGCGAAGAAGAAGAAAATCGACAGCGCTGCATCGCCTCATCCATCGTTGAATCCTCGTCCTCACAGCTCGTCCTTGGCACGCCCAACACCCTCCTTGACCGCATCCGTGGCCTTGCTGGCGACGCTGCCGACCTTGTCTCCTAGCGATGACGCCGCCGCGCTGGCCTCGCTCGCCATACTTCCCACGCTCGCCGACGCCGTGGCGTAGATGACGCCGAACCGAGACAGCACGCTCTCACTAAAGGCTGGTTCCCTACCGCTCACCAGCTCCGACACCATCTCGCTCATGGCCTCGTATTGCTGGGCTGCCTTGGCCGATGCCGCGTCGGCGGCCCTTGCCGCGCCATCTGTCGCCGACGACGCACCATCGGCAGCAGTCTTGGTGGCCGCCGATGCATAGGAGCCAACGTTGGCGGCCAGCTCGTCGTACCACCCAATCGCGCTAGGCTCGGCGTACACCTGGGCGCTCAGCTCCGAGACCACCTTGTCCCACGTCCCGGCGAGGGCGGATCCGGCCAGATACACTTGTTCGCCGGCAGCATCCGCCACGGCCGAAAAAGAGTCCTCCACGGCATTCGCTGCCGAGACCACGCCCTCTGTCGCCGCCGAGTACGCCGATTGCGCCGCCGACCCGGCCGCCTGGGCAGCTGACGTGGCCGACTTGCCAGCTGCCGAAGCCACGGACGACGCGGAGCCGACAAGATCCGTCGGGGTTGGGGTCGCCGTCATCAATGACCAGGCCGACGAGGCGCCCGACAGGAAGCTCATGTAACGGTCCTGCGCCATGCCGAGGCCAGCGTAGTAGTTGAACTTGGCTTGCTCAACCAGTTTCTCGGCCGCGTTTGACGGTGTCGGCGTCGGTGTCGACGTTACCACTCCCAGGGCAAGCAAGGCACTCTGATACTGGATTTCGGCCCACAGCCGACCCTCGCTCAGTCGCTGTGCAGCCATCGACTCGACTTTTTGCCAGCCAGGGGCCCCGGATTTGCTTGTCGGGGTTGGCTCTCCATAGACCCCTTTTGAGGCGGCGCTCACGGCATCATTGAGCCTTTGGCCGGCCGCACCAACAGCATTATCGTACGCAGTGGAGACGGAAGAAAAGAGCTGTTCGTGAACAGGCTTGGGCGTGCCGTAAACCTGCGCAGAAACAACAGAAAGCGCGCTCGAGTACTGCGCCGACGCCGCCGACAGGGCGCTAGTGTAGGCAGCTTGGGCGGCGGCCGTGGCGCTCCCGTATCTGTCGGGGTCTGGGCTTTCGTCCAAGATGGGACCACGATCAGAAACAGCCTGGGCGGCGGCACCGAACATGGCGCCGTGCACGGGAGGGCTGCCACTTTCCCGGCGCATGTCCGCCGCGATTCTCGCGTCCTCTTCGGTGTCTTTCAAGTTTTCTCCATTGGCCTCGGGGGCCTCTGCGACGGCCGAAGTCGCTGCGTCCCCCGTCTCGGACGAAACAGCATCTAGTGGTGTTCCTAGAGGCTATTGTTAGTCGTGAGATTCCCACAAAAGGTCTTAGGGTCATGACGCACCGCGGAGAATGTTCTCAGCCGCGTCGGCAGGGCCCGGAGCCGCAGCCGTATGGGGCTCGTTTTCCGAGGCTGCATCCCCATCCTGGACGCTTCTGGCAGACTTGCGAGGCGGTGCTTGGTTAGGATTGCTGGTAGAGCCTATGGCTGCCTCTGAGAGGGATGATGCCGCCTTCGAGGCACCTCCTACAACCGCGCTGGGAATCACCTTAGCCGTCGAAGTGCCTTCCTCAGCGATACCTTTGGCCGTTGAAAGCACTTCTTCGCCAGCTTCGGCCACCGTTGCCTTGACCCGTCCGGCTTCTTGTGCGGCCTCGGCGGCCAGCCTCATCGCGTCTGAGTCAAAGTTGTCGGTGGAATCGCCGGCACGAATCTTCCAGACCGCCACTTGTTTCAAACGGGCAAGCTCTTTGGCGGCGGCAGAAGCGATTTCCATGGCCTCGTTCTCGATCTGAGCCGAGGCTCCCTGCGCCTCAAGCAATGTAGGATGGCCGGTAATCAGTTCCTTAAGCTCGTCTGTCCACTGCGAAAGCGTTGCTCTCAATTCGTGATACTTGGCCCAGTCCCGATACGTGATGCCGTCGATCCAGGCCCATTTCATGCCAATCTTCTGCAGGGCAAGGCTCTGCGTCTCGGCGAGAATGACAAAGAACTCGTTGGCGGCGTCGAGGACGGTTTTCTGAAGCTCGGCGAGATACTCCTCATGCCATTCTCGAACCGCCTGAGCTTTGCCCTTGATAGCCAGACCAGCGGATCTAACAGCACCAACAGCCTTGTCCTCGGCGTCCTCAGATGGATCCTTTGCGATGGACACTACCTTGTGCTTGACGTCGGCAAGTTCGGATTGGACAGTGACGTTGAGCTGCTCGATGAGTTGTCTCCCAATCACCTCAACCTTTTCTTGGATAAATCGGCGGGCAATGGCGTCGGTGCGTTCTTCATTCTCGGTGGCTCCCTCCTTGGCCTGTGTCGCAATCTTTTCTTGCCAGGATTGCAGATCATGGGCAACCATTTCGCGGACTGTTCGGTCCTCGTCCGTCTCGTTCTCTTTCGGAGGCGCACCAACGGGGTACTGGAGCTTCCCAGCGGACCCTTGAGGATCTGCTTGTTTGGTGGCAACGGTCACGGCATCTCCTTGGGCTCTCGTGGGTTCGGGAGTCGAACTTTGGGGCGTCGGCTTGCTGAAAGACGAGTGAAAAGACTCGGTGCTGGTACTGGACGTCGAAGAGTCAGGACATTGGTCTGGAAGCCAGGGAGATAGTGGACATCCCGACTTACCCAGCCTTGGAGGGCTGCCTTGGGAGGACCTTGGACTTGGCCTTGTTCTTATACCGTCCAAGACGCTCGCCTATGCGCACCAATTGGGGCTCGACGTTTTCGACGTAAACAAGTCGCAGCTGGGGCCAGACGGTGGTTTCCAGGAAGACGTTGCTCCTGTCCCAAGCCCAATGAGTGATGGGGAGAGCCGTGTTGACGGCAAAGTCCGAAGCGACATGGTAGCTTCGCGCCGCATAAGGGCGGACAAGCTCGTAGCCGGGCAGGAGGTGCTCGTAGAAGAGTTGTAGGGAGTTTGTGCGCGCAATCTGGTAGTAAGGCTCGACAGTCTCGCCGACCTTGGCCAGATGAGGCGCAACGGATTGGTCGTACTTGTCCTTGACCACGGTTTGCATACGAGCCAGGCGAGGCTGGCCGTTGAGCTGCCATTGGGACCAGGCATAGTCCTGACCTCGCTGGACCCAGGGAGCACCGTAGTGGACAGCATAGGCTCGCGTCGGGGTGAGGACTCGGGTGTTCACCGCGTCGTAGTATGGTCTAGCAACATTGACGTAGGGCGCGGCATACTGATCATAGTACGGCTGGAGATGGGGTGACACGGCATCCTTGGCCCGGAAATAGTGTTCGCAAATGAAGGGGGACTTGTCGTCGCAGGCATCGATCGAGGAGGGACAGCGGAAGAGGACGGTGAAGATGGCGGACCAGATGGCGAGTCTATTGAAGGGCGCGACTGTTAGATGGAGGAGGGTGGAGGGAAGAGGCGGCAAACCTTGCGGCAAGGCTAAAGGCCCAGGCGAAGAAGCCACGGCGTTGCTTGGTGGAGGTCGTTCTGACGACGGGCTTCCGGTGCGGCTTGCCATTGGCAACGTGGGAGGAGCCGTTGCTCGACTTGAGCGGGCCGCCGGAGTCGGCCATGGCCAGCGATTCAGGCCAACGAAGGTCAGTGGCCTTGGCAGCAGCTAGCCGGGCCTGCGAGAAAGACGGCGTCAGTCACTTTTGGTGCGAAGCTCACGACGTTGGGCTCAAGGCGGCTGTCTTTTCTTGCTTGGCTGGAGGTTGGTAAGAGTATGGTTCGTGGAGGATGGCCAGGTTGGGAGAGGTGAGGTCTCGGGTAGGTACGTACTGGTTGGCGGAGGAGTTGAGAAGGGCCACTTTCGGTGTCTGGTAGGTAAAGCTAGCACCAGAAAACAAAGCTTGCCTACTGCTCGCTCACGACAACTAGGGATGGATTAAAGGGTAGCAAAAAGGACATGTACGGGCCTGGACATGGTGTGGGACACGACTGGCTGATAAAAGGCAGCTTTTCGCAGGCTGATGACGTTTTGTGGTCTATGGCCCGTGAGCACCTTGCACATGAACCGCCGAGGCACGTCATGCATGACTTGCGAGAGAGGGAGAGCCTGCTTCTCAGCTGTGCAACCGGCGTCGATCTCCCCCCCCGCTCGATCTGGTAGAGATGCCAACACAATGACGTTTGACCAGATCTCGCCAGAGACGCCCGCCATGCACGTCTTTCTTTAAGCAGGCCTTTCACCTACCGCAACTTAGATAGGTACCTTAGGTAGGTACCTTCAGATAGGCAGGTACCTAGATACAAGGTAAGGTAGGTATTGTAGGTACCAGGTAGGTACTCGAGGGGCATAGATGCGTACCCTACTTCCTAGGTAGGTAGGTAGGCAGTAGTAGGTACCTACTGTACCTGATGCCTAAGCGGTCAGAGGTGCATTACCTCCAGTACCTAAGGTAGGTAGGCATGTACTGTATTTAGAGCGTCTGCCCGCTGTATGCACCTAGGCCTGTCGCCTGATGACTGATGATGAACGCTTCGTTCCGTGGGGAAAAGGGCCGGCAACGCGTGCTGCGAGTCCAGTATGGCACGACAAGGCCTTGGACCTTGCCGACGACGAAACCTTGCATGGACAAAGATGACAAACTGTGCACAGATGCTGCAAACGAGGCTAACATCTCGATTGGCTTGAGCGGCTATCGGGCTAGATAAGATGAGTAGCGTGATAAGGCCGACTTACATAAGGCTCGCCGCGGATGTATGGTAATTATTACCTTGCCACCAAGGTGGTACGTAAGGCAGCAGACTGCGACTTCGCTTTCTTACTCCTTTCACCAACCTCCCCCCTGCGACAGCTTCGTCGACCCCTCCCTTTGCGGTCCCTACCTTATGGCGCAGCTCAAGTCGTCCTGGGATATCTTTTGATCGCCCGCCACCGACCACCCGTCAGTCATCGTCGGTCTGCAGCAACCTCCGTCCTCGGACACCCGACGCTCGCCATGGACGACACGGCGGCCGACGGCGGGCCTCCCGACCAAGCCAAGCCTCGCGCTCGAAAGCTCTCGCTGCTCGACCCCCGCCCCAAGGCCCCGGCCCACCACTTCGATGCCGCGCCCTCCATCTGCCGGATATGTCGCAGCGAGGGCACCGCCGCCGAGCCGCTCTTCTATCCCTGCAAGTGCAGCGGCAGTATCAAGTACGTCCATCAGGATTGCTTGATGGAGTGGTTGTCGCACTCTCAAAAGAAATACTGCGAGCTCTGCAAGACGTCTTTTCGCTTTACAAAGCTCTACGCCCCAGACATGCCAAAGTCGCTCCCCGTCCACGTCTTCATCGAGCACATGGCCAGGTACCTTATGCTCAACCTGCTGGTATGGCTGCGAGCCCTCGTCACCGTCAGCGTCTGGGCCTGTTGGCTGCCCTATTTCATGCGTTCCGTCTGGTCCTTCATGTTCTGGGTCAGCGATGAGGGCCTGGGTAGCGGCTCCATCCTCACCCGCGCCAACGAAACCGATCCAGGGGCTTCGTGGCTTACGAGTCCCATCGCCCATGGCAGCACATGCCCAGCCAGCCCCCTCTTGGCCGCCACCACCTGTTCCGCCGTCCAGGCCGCCGCCGTTCTCGAGCGTCTTGGCGGCGAGGACTTGGCCGACTATCTCGTTCGCATCTTTCTCGGATCGCTCGGCATGCCGACCAAGATGGATCCCTCCGAAACTCGACTTCACCATGACTCCGTCAGCGCGCCCTCTCTGCACAATGCAAGCCTTGATGTTGCCGCGACCTCTTCCCTCTTTGGCGACGTCGATTTCCTCCGCAACCTCACCCGAAGCCCGACGCTCAATCGCGCCGTCATCAAGATTCTCGAGGGGCAGGTCATCACCGTTCTCGTCATCGTCTGCTTCATTCTCGTCATCTTGGTCCGAGACTATGTCGTCCAGCAACAGCCAGAGATCAATATGCGAGCTGCCTTTGAAGAGCCAGCCCACCAACTACCAGCACAGCCAGACGACGGTGCCCAAGCGCCCGCGCCGGAGCCGTTGCGAGATGCTCCGGGTCCGGAGTCCGACGACGAGACGCTAGATGACGGTGGTCAGCAAGTCAGGGCCGTGGGCTGGGAGCCTCCGCAGGCCGATGAGACTGGAGCAGCCGACACAAGTCAGACGGCCGACCCGCGAACCCACAATGGCTGGTTGCATCAAGACAGCACGACAGGCTTGCCAGAGATGGACTCGGCTCGCGATTCGAATCAGTCAGCGATTGCAGCTGATAATGGCGGCGACGATCGAGCCAGCGTAAACGACTACCTTCGCATCTATCGCCGGGCTGGTGGAGACCCGGAAAAGATTCTGCAGATTGTCGAGCAGGAAGGCCTCGAGGATAAGCTCGGGTATTGGGTCGACGTTACCCGAAGATCCATCACCAAGCGCGAGGACGTGAGCAAGGACCGCGACTTGGCCAGTTCTTCCAACTCGGACCAAACTAGTTACCTGAATTCTGCGGCGGAAGCTGGCTCCACCGTCCAAGCCTGGATTCCAGCCGCAGATGAGACGGACTCGGCCACTTCTTCACCCACGGACACTAAGTCAAAGGGAAAAGAGCGAACATGGCTACCCGTCTCGCCCGGTCCAATCTCGGAGACGTCGTCACAGGCCGGTCCATCAAGACCGCGTGCCGCTTCGGATGGGCCCCGACATCAGGCTTCAACGAACCTTCTAGGAAGCAACAACTGGTCGTTTGCCGGCTTGCCCCCCATCGGCCCCGCCAATGGCGTGGAGCCGAACCCGCCAGCTGATGCATCGCCCAGCGCGGAAACTTCTTCCTCGCCGCGAGCGGATCCGCAAGTGGGTTTTGCCGCGGCCGAACCGGTTATGCGTGAAGCAAATGCGGGCCAGCCCCCCCATTCAGAGGACGACGCAGACGATGTGTCGTTTCATCGCCCTCTGGTCATAGAGCAGACCCCGGGCGAGGAAGCTGCTCGTGACGACGTGGAACCAGCGGGACTGGTCGGACGCGTGGCAGACTTCATGTGGGGTGACCTCCACCATCTCCCAAATGCCCATGTCGAAGGCGAAGACAACCTCGCCGACGACGACGCCGACGCCGAGGATGATCCTTGGGTCGACGTCCCGATGGCCGAAGGTCCCGACGAAAACGCCGACGCAGACGTTGGAGACGATGAAGGCGCGGTCGCAGGGGCAGGGCTGGATCCCGAAGCCATGGACGATCTGGAAGACTTCGAGGGCGTCATGGAGCTCATTGGCATGCGCGGGCCCATCGCCGGGCTGTTCCAAAACGCCATCTTTTGCGCTGTTTTGGTGTCCGTCACCATCTTTGCGTGCATCTTCGTGCCTTACAACATTGGTCGCGTCACGCTGTGGGTCGTCGCAAACCCTGTTCAAATTGTCCGCGAACTCCTCGAGTTTTCAAAGGTGGTGCAAGATGCCGCGGTCATGCTTGGAGGGCTGAGCTCGTGGTTCGTCCTCAACCTCCTCGACATGTTCACCGGCCTCGTCGGCGGAGCCGTGGGTGCCAAGGTTGTCTCGGCGAGGAAAGCATCCTGGGGGCTCTGGACGGGCGCTGGGAGCCGCGTCATGGAGTACGCTCTCATGGACTTTCCCATGTCCGCCTCGGACATGCAAAACTTCTCGGCAATCAGTCACGAGGCGCTCATCGTCGTCAAGGGATCAGTCGCGGCCGCCTTTGGCACAATAGACTCCAGCTTTGCTGCCATCGCCGACGCGAGATTCTATGCGGCTAATGGCGAGCTCTTGGCTACATTGGCCACGGCCGCTACGTCGACCTTTGCGAGCATCAGCGCCGCTCTCCGGCTTGCCCTGGATCCCAGCTCGTGGGTCATTGAACTTGGCGGAACAGAGCCACGTCCACCGGTCGACCCAAGCCTGGCCCACTGGCCTGGCCTCGACCGATTCTGGGCCGTTCTCGCCGGCTACCTCGCCATCTTTGCCATCAGCGCCATGTACTTGAAGAGGGGCACTCCTTTTGCAAGGGGAAACATGATGCAAGCTTGGGAGGCCGGCGTGATTGACACGCTTCACCAGGCCAGCGGCATCATGAAGGTCATTCTCATCATCAGCATCGAAATGCTGGTTTTCCCTCTGTACTGCGGACTTCTGCTCGACGCCGCCCTGCTGCCACTATTTGAGAATACGACGATCAAGTCTCGCATACTCTTCACCTACAACTTCCCTCTGACGTCGGTCTTTGTGCACTGGTTCGTCGGGACCGGTTATATGTTTCACTTTGCGCTCTTTGTGTCCATGTGCCGCAAAATCATGCGGCCGGGGGTTCTATGTAAGTGCCCGCTTTCCTGTCGAGTCGCCGAATCATGCTAATGTCCCTCTGCAGATTTCATCAGGGACCCGGACGACCCCGAGTTCCACCCGATTCGCGACGTGCTCGAGAGGAGCCTCACCACGCAGCTCCGAAAGATTCTGTTCTCGGCCTTCGTATACGGCGCTCTGGTCATCGTCTGCCTGGGCGGCGTTGTTTGGAGTCTGGCATATGGCATGCCTGGGGTGCTACCGATTCACTATTCCTCGAACGAGCCGGTCCTAGAGTTTCCAGTCGATCTTCTCTTCTACAACTTCCTCATGCCCCAGGCTGTCAAGGTCCTCAGGCCAGGCGATGGATTGTACACCATGTACACGTGGTGGTTCCGCAAATGCGCCCGCGGACTGCGACTTACCTATTTCCTCTTTGGGGAGCGGCGAATCGACGAGGAGGGCACTCTGCAGCTGAGCCCCGACTCGTCAGACCACCACTCGCGGCATAGAGCACTCCTACTTGAGCTGAACGAACACAACAAAGTCGTCCCAAAGACGTGGCGGGACACGTTCGAGGGCGGCGATGCGAAGCCGAATCCCTCGGTATCAAGGAGTGAAGAAAAGATGCTGAGACGGAGAAAGCAGCACCTCGTGGCCTCTGGTCAGCTCATCAAGAGCGGGCGCTTCGTACGTGCCCCCGCATCCGATCGCGTCAAGATTCCCAAGGGCCAACGGGTCTTCCTTACTGTGACGGAGCTTGGCCGGCGCAAAGACGGCGTCGCGGACAATGACGTCTACGCCTCGAGCCAGTATCAGATGGTCTATATTCCGCCGCATTTCCGCGCCAGGATCTTCCTATTCATCCTTTGTATCTGGCTCTTCGCCGCGGTGACGGGAGTGGGCATCACCATTGCGCCGCTGGCCTTGGGGCGGAAGATGTTCAAAATGCTCATCCCCGACGACATCCGAACCAACGATGTCTACGCCTTTAGCATCGGTATATATGTCCTCGGCACCGCAAGCTACTCGGTCTTTTGCATCCAACGCATCACCGCCGGAGTTCGAGCCCGGGTGAGCAGGGCGTGGGCCGAGGTTACAAAGGGGAACGCTCCCCGGCATGCCTGGTCCGGCATTGTCCGTGGTGTGGAACTGCTCTACACCTACGCCTTTCTTCTCGTCGTGTTTCCATTGCTCTTTTCCACGATGATGGAGCTGTATATCGCCATTCCGCTGCACACGTACATGGACCCACCCGTGAAGCAAGCCGGCAACACTGGCCACCATACCATCCGCATCATTCAGGCTTGGACTCTGGGGCTGCTCTACCTTAACCTGGGGACAAGAATGATCAGGTCCTTGTTTCCCGAGAGTCGCGCGGCGCTGGCTGTGCGAACTGTTGTGCGTCGCGGGTGGCTGCAACCTGACACTGGCGTCTTGACCAGGGCGTTTGTCGTCCCCGGACTGACCATTGCGGTGGTTGCCGTGTTTGGGCCACCTCTTATGGCGAGCCTTCTGATCAAGCTGGATCTCTTGGGGGCTAGCAGAGGCGCCGGAACGCTCAGCGCGGCGACGGTGTACCGAAACTCGTATCCCGCGGCAGCCTTGGCGGCCGTGCTGATGAGATACGCCATTGGCATGGCCAGAGTATTCAAGGGATGGAAGGCCGGCATACGCGACGAGGCGTACTTGATTGGGGAGCGTTTGCACAACCTCGGAGCTACCGCAGGAGGGGCCCGCAGAGCTAAGAGAGCCTGGGGAGCTGGACGCCCGAGGGTTTGAGTGCGTTTGTATAAGGAAAGCAACAGCATGGAGCGAGGGAGCGTGTAAGTGATAGACAAATCAGTGCGCAATAGCTTGATACGCGCCAAATGCGATTGGAATTCCCAAAGCAGTCCTGATAGATACAGCGCTATACGAGGGGTTCCGAGAAATTGCTGTCTTGGCAGTAGTACTTCACTAAAAAGTTAAGGGATATTTTCTCTCCTATAAGCTTTAATAGTGAAGCTATTAATTAATATGTATACGAAAAAGTATCTCGTAACCCTGGATCGCGTAGCTCTGACAGGAGGCCAAAAATAGCTGGAAAGAAATTATTCTATTCTCATTGTCCTCTCACCAGCTTCCGAAACACCAGCGCACTCCCATGTACAAACTCCACGCGAACGATACGAGGCTCGGGAGCATGCCCTCGTCTCTTGCGCGCGCTGCCCACTCCTCAAACGGAACTTGGCCCATATGGACTCGGTTGCCCGGCCAGCCATCCCAGTCCGAAGGTTATCGAGCAGCAGGCCAACGCTGCCTATGTGATGCAGAAAGCGCTACTCGATGTCGGGTTGATATACCGTTTCATGTAAGGCATTCTTGACCCCCATACCAAGGCGTCTAGCGTGACCGAGTTGATGGTCTCTTAGAACCTACCGCGTACTGCAGGCACCGCCGCTAGATGTAGTGAAGAGGGATGAGCCCCGGCAGACTCATCTCGGCGAGCTCCTTGATCGACCCGAAGTTGGAAAGCTGGAGCGACGAGTACGCCTTCATTTGGAGACGTCGGCCTCGTTGTGTAAAAGGATCTCGGCGGCGCCCAAGAGTGCTCTGCGTCATGCTTGGGCAGGCCAAGTCGTGGAAGCAGCAAATCGCCTTGGTGTAAGGAGACCTTGTCTAGGCATGGCATGTCCTCGCGAGCGTGTGCGATGCGCACGGCAATGCAGTGGATTTGTCCACCGCTGGGGCGCATGCAAGGATATTCAAGAGCGGCCGACCGAGATATCCCGTCGCCCCTATCAGAACGATCGTCTTCGGGCTTCCCGCAGCGACGAGCTGCGTGGCTGCTAGAGACAAAAGCGCCGGCGTTGATTGCGTCCCTAAGTCCTAGTTGACCTCGGTCGCAGGCACATCTTGTCTGTTTTCGCTTTCCATCCTTTGTGCCATGTTGCCCGGCTTGCTTGGTACGAACATGTCTACCAGGGGGAGCTCGACGCTGAGTCTGGCTCGCATCTGCAACCGGAATCTCAGCAGCAGCAGCGACGTTGCTCTCATGTGAAAAGAGGTCGGCCTCGGGCCCAATATGGTGCAAGCCGGCGACATTGGGTGTTGTGACTTACCCCCAAATCCTCCTCAGCTCGACTTCCCTCGGTGAGCGCAACACACTGCGTCGAAGGCGCTGCTGGTATAGACATGACGGCAATCGTCCCGGGGCCGAGCCTAAGAGTATTGGTGGCACAAACACCATGTGCCGAAGAAGGCCCAACCGCGGCTGCAGCGAGTCCAACAACTGTGCGCTTTCGTTGGGCGGGAAGTTTTGGTCGAAGACGACATAAGCAACGAGAAGCGCGGGACTCTTAGGGGGACTGATACTACCGCGTCGATGAGATTCTCCTAGGCCGTCTTGAGCTAAAGCTCCTCTACTTCACGCAGGTCGAGGCGCAGACCTGCTGCCGGATGGAGAGCTTCAGGAACTGTAGGGTGACGTACTCCCGATGGCCTTATGCGAAGTGTCTCTGTAAGCCTTGGAGAAACACTTGAAACAATAGGCCCGTCCATGACTTGGTCATGAGTCGCCAAGACCAGGAAGTGACTTGTCGGCTCGAGAATGAGGAGCACGACCCTCGTCGTTTCGCTTCGCGCTAGGTCAAATCTTGACAGCGTCTTGACTTCTTTCTTGTCCTGAATCTGTCGACATTCCCCGCATATAATGCTCGATTCCATGGCTCCTTGAATTGATGGACCGTTCTTCTCAAAGAAACGTGGTCTGAGCAACCCGTGCTGCTGGCGGATAGCTCGCATAGTATCTCCAAACTCTGTGTGGCGAACCTTGCACATCGCTCGTTGTTACTTGCCTCTCTCTGCATATGAATCATGACAGGGAGATGTCATTTAGGCAAAATATCAAACGAGTCGACTTCATTGGCAACGGTATGCTCATATCTGGCATCGTGGCCACCCTCTATTTCCAAGCCGCGAAGCTGTGCTCGCCTTCTTGCATTGGCTACTCTCTGCTTCCGTCCGGGAGGTTTGGAAGGGGTTCCGGATGGCTTGCGGCTATGGAAGTCGGGGGCTGTCTCGGGTAAAGGGCCACCCTCTATAGGTGTGACTACGTCTCTTACTCCTCGGTTCTCCCCTCGGTATCGAACACGGAGGCAAATTCCTTCTGGAGCTTTCTATATTTTGAACAGCGAGCAAGGGTCAGGGCAGAGTATGGCCGGCGTACTTCACTGATTTCGATCCTGCTAGTCGCACCGAACGGGAAAGTTGATCTGGAAGGAGTAAACGTCATTAGAGAGTAGTTCCCGCAGTTCTTTTGCTTCTTTTCGGGGCGGTGGTGCTATTGGACTTTTGGACACTAACTCTAACCCGGCTCTGACGCAGTATAAGAGGGACTGAGTAATCTTGGAGGATTTTGTTGCATGATATAGCCTTGATAAATCGTGCCTCCATATGTAGTCAGGTGTCGCATCCTCGTCGACCGCTCGATATCTATGCCGCTGTCCTTGCTTGACGTTGAGAAGGAACCCCGTGTACCCTGTTAAAACTGCCGAGCATCAACTAAAAGTGCTGGAGAGAACTTGAGAGAAACCATTATTGCGTCAAGGCTATTTGCGGGGAGTATGTAAAGGATTTCTTTTTTTCCCGTTCGTTGTGAGTTTGAAGCAACGACACGCCATTGATACGGCGCATTCATGTTGTGCTCCAACTGCTGCCTCTCTATTCTTTGCACCATATATCGAGTGGGCATATGTAAAACAAATCTCGTTATAAGAAGCGTGAAGTTCGCCGATACTATAATTGCTGCTCCTCGTTCGAGTTGCCTAAGACCCGACTTTCAAAGACTGTGCTACTCTTTCCGGCTGCTTCCGAATCGAGACATCTCGCTCAGCTATCCGGTTTGGACAGCTCTCCCAGTGTCAGGTGGAAGACAGAGCCTATAAAAATCTGGTAACAGAAAAAAAAAATTCGGATACGGCTGGGGTGGTTACGGCGGCGTGTTCTAGATCACGTACATTGTGTACGCAGTGTGCGTCTTTGGCCGATAATTCCAGACGAATCGTCCTGATCTGGCAAGTAACGGCGGTCTATGAGATCAATGTCGGCGATGAAGCGAGATGCAAGCTGGAGTTGCAACTGCCCTTGACCATGTAAGCCTCTGCTTTGTCTGCAGTCGGCGACAAGGACATGGGGCAATGAAAGTTGTTGCTCTCTTTTTTATGATGCTCATGGACGCCTATTATGTGAAGTATAAATATTTGCCCAAGACCAAATCTCAATTGGCGAATGGAGCATATCGTCTTCGCGGGAACCAAGTCTGCCGGCAGACAACCCGAATAAAACGCGCACACATGAGTCTACGAACGCCGTAAGACACTACCCTTCCGTTTGCTCACCAATCATGTCTCATTTCATGTTTCGTCACCATCTTCCACAACCCATCTAATGTTCTTTTCACAAGACTCGGGCCCCCGGATGTTTGTTTTGATGGCAGCGCCTTGAGGTGCTCCGGAAGACGTCGATGTCAATAGACCTAGCGGCTCACTTTACTTGCTTTACTTGTCGGCACCCCACGTTTCGTCAGCTTCAATGGCATATACCGATAGGAGCCATGGAGGAGAGGCAATATGCGCATGAAGCGTGTCAATGGCTCAATGCTGTTCTCGCACATGCGGCGGGCTACCCTATACTCGGCATCTTGTGGTCGCGGCGGCTGCAGTGCAACCAGAGAGGCGCGCAGCGTGGCAAAGGCACGAGATGGCGTGGTGAGACATGTTTTCCAGCCCTTTCAAATACCAACGCGCCAAGCGTCTTTCTTCATGGCTGGCAGAGTGTCTGACTTGAACCCGTGAGACCGTGTCTATAAATAGCGCTCGTCTTCATGCCAGTTGACCTAATCCTTGCTCTGGATACAAACCGTCTAGGATGTTATTCAGACATTCAAACATGACCGTAGCTCTACCCAGTTACCTCCCGAGGAAATGGTGAGTGGGAGAGTGAAAGGTGGAGAGAGAGAGAACAAGTTAAAGTGAGAATCTGGGCTCCCGGCTCAGCAAGGGTGATGCACGTGATGCTGAGGGAAACGGTACCAAGTAACTTCCACATGTTCAAATGCGGTTTGTCGTTGCCCGTGACGCCCAACGCTAAGCCCAACGTAGACCAGTGCTTCCTGCCCAGCAGTGAGTTGAGGCCTGCTGGGCAGGCATTTGCAGGGGTGCAGTGGGGCTTGGGCGTCGCATCAACAAGTCGCCCGTCACGGGCAAAAACATAACCACCAACCATCGCCAACCACCGACACACGACGACGAAGACGACAGCGACACCGGCCTCGGCTGCCCCCTTCGACAACCGGGCCAGGCCATACGACAAGGTAAGTCTGGCTGTGCCCGACCAGCAGCAACACCGGCCACCAGAAGCACCGCTCGCCAGCACGCGCCTCCGCCATTTCTCCCCTTAGTTTTCCGCCAGCTGTTTCCTCCACCTTGGGCTCTGAGAAACCAGGCGGGACAGAGGAAATTGCTCTGCCACAGACACGGGTGAGTGGTACTCGCACATGACGAATTGAAGCAGCTCAGGCAACGCCAGCGTTACTGACATACGAACTGGCGACGCTGGCGACGCAGATTACAATCACGACCTCTATTACTTGGCCGCCTGCTACCCGTCTCGCTGGCTGGGCCCGCTACAAAAACAGTCACTCTTCTCTGTCGCTGCAACGCAGTGCTCAGAAGGGCCGTTTCTAGCGTCTCACCGCAAACCACGCACCACTATTTCTCCGCCGCCCAAGCTTATGGGACAGCACCCGCTGCACCTACTCGCCCCGGAACACTGCTTGTGGTCCGACGACACGCCACACCATGGCTGAACCTCCGTCCTCCCCCCCCAGCGAGGCCACCGGCGCCGAGGATGCTCTTTCGTGGTACAAGTCTCAATATGAGATGCTCGAGTCCGAGCTGGCAGAGTTCCGAGAGTCGAGCCGCGAACTGGAGAAGGAGCTGGAAAAAGACATTGAGCGCGCCGAGAAGCAGGAGCGAGTCTTTCAAGAGAAGGCCGAGGCCCTAGGCTTCGAGGTCGAGGAGTGGAAGGTACGTGGCTCCTCTTCCCCTGTGCTCCGAGAGAGGCCTCGGTTTGTGGTCGTCGGCTCGACGCGTCTGACCTGTCTGCGCAGAGGAAATACAAGGAATCAAAGACCGAGGCCAGCGCTGCGCAAAACACGCTCGAGAAGGAGATTACGACGCTCCGAGACTCGAACCGCTCGCTGCAGCTCAAGCTCCGAGACATTGAAGTCGCCAACGATGACTTTGAGCGTCAGGCGCGCAACACGACATCGTCGCTCGAGGACATGGAATCCAAGTTCAACCAGGTCATCGAGCGCGCCGTCATGATGGAGGAGGAAATCAAGTCGGGCGAGCAGGAGCGAGAACAGCTGCGCATCGAGTCGCAGAGACTGCGCGAGGAGCTGGCCGACCTCAAGATCGAGGCAGATCTCATGCAGGACAAGATCAAGAAGCACGAGGCTCGTCACCTGTCTGCCATCTCGACCGACATGTCGCTTCTCGGGTCGCCCACCTTTGACAAGAACGCCGACGGTTCGCCCAACTCGGCCGCCAGCTCGCCGCTCGTCACCACTCCCCCAGATACCAAATCGCTTTCGACGGCAGACACCATTTCCGAAGTGCACGACCCGCCCTCGCCCCCCATGTCTGACGCCTCGGCGCCCGTACCAAAATCAGGCTCGGCAGCAAAGACGCCCGCCAGAGCACCAGCGCGCAAGTCTCGACTCCCATCTCTCGACGGCAACGCGACGCCCAAGCCACGCTCCGCAATGGGTACAGCGGCCCGGCCGCCCGGAGGCCGCATGTCGGGCGTGGGCGCCAGCCTCCGCACGCCGGCGAACCGATCGTCGCGGACCCGTCCTGCCGGGCATAAGATTCCGGCCTCCAACTCCCTCACCCACATCCGGACGCTCACGGCCCAGATGCAGCGCCTCGAAGCCAGGGTGCACTCTGCTCGATCCAAGCTCCCTGGCCCGACGATTAAGTCTCCGCGCGCGTCCCCCCGGTCTGCCAGCAAGGGACCCACGGTGCCCTCGACGGTTACGATCCGATCCCGGAAACGCACCCTTGGTTCCTCGACGTCGTCCATGGCAGGGGACGAGACGACGCCGACAAACGCCACCAACCCACGCGTGGCCAAGAGCCACGTCCCGCGACTGAGCACGTCTGGTACTGGTCGGCTCTCGTTTGGGCCGCTGCCGAACCGCGGGCCCGAATCGGACATGAGCCGGCCGAGCTCGCGAGCCAGCCTCTCGTCGTACGCCAGGCCGTCGTCGAGAAACGACATGGTGCCCCCACCACGGCCCATGTCGCGAACATCCATGTCCGGGACGCGGACGCCACTTGGCCGGTCCCGGTCGTCGATGAGCGGGTCGTTGCACAGCCTCTCGGCCAGCATCGGTCGCATGGACGAGGAAGAGGACGACGGCGGGTGCCGAACACCAAGCCGGCGTGGGACCTACTCGAAGCTGGAAATGGACGCGGAAGCTAGCGGCGTGCCGATTCCGGGCAGCACGATACCGACACCGAGTAACCGGCGGCAGAGTGAAGGACGGCGGACGAGCAGCGGGGTGCCCGTGTCGAGCCTGAGGCGGCCGAGCACGTCGGCGGCCAGGAAGCTGAGTGACTTGGGCGAAACATACTGAGGCGCTACGAGGCGGATCCGGACTGCATGACGACTCTTGTTCTTCTCTGTTTCTGCCTCGACGTGGGGGAGTGGGGTGGGCAGAGCGCGGGTGCGGCTTTTGCTCCACCATCTATACCCTTTTGCTTTATTTCCGGTCTCTCTTTGGGGTTATTTTCCAGGGGGTTTGCAACGACATGGTTATGACAGACGCTCACTGCAGAGGGTTGATGGTGTTTTGTTGCTTTCCTTACGACGATGATGAAGTCATTTCATGCACACGGGATATCCTCCCACTCTAGGTTTGTATGTTGGGGGTGGTTGCAGGAACGGCGTTGCAGCTGGGCGAGGAGGAGGGTTGAAGAGAGGGAAGCGAGCCGGGCTGGGACATGTGCAAGGACCAGGCATATGCATATCGAGACGGGACGGCACGCCATGAGCTGTTCCTTTGTACGAGAAGAGACGTTGGTGGTGGACCGGAGAGGGTAGTAAGTCGAGGCAAATGATGGCCATGATACGCGTGTTGTACTCGGTAGTAATCCCCAATGTGGTGTCTAAAGAAAAGCGCCGACTGGACCATGAAGGTGCCGGCCCGATGTTTAGTCTGCATGTACTCGGTAGAATTAAATTCATTCTGCTGCATTAGGGTGTTGAAGAGGGTGTGAGGGAATGGCAGATGGATGGATTGGCAAGTAGCTCCGCTGGGCGGCGGATTTTAATGTTGGGGGAGCCGAAGTCCGGGCGATGAAGAAGGCCGGCAGGCGGGGGCTCAACAATTGGGGGACGCAAGACCTGTACGAAGTATGGGTGGCTGATGGGCCTGAAACCTTTGCAACCGCACTCCCGCTGGGGAACAGCTGTCTCTCTTGACGAGGCTGCTTTTTCAGAAGAGCCGCTGCAGCCCAAGTTCAGCCCGCGCTCTTGGCTGCCCGGACTGCTCTGGCCTGCGATGGGGGCTTGGAAGCGAAACCTGGCAGAATAAAAAGAGATTGAGACTACCCTGGCGGCCTGTGCAAAGAGCAAGTCTACAGAAGTAGAATGAGATTTGAGAGAAATGGACTCTTTTGAGGGCGGCAGCTCTCTTCCCGACCTCCCCCCCTTCGACCTTGATGTTCTGGAGACTTCCGGGGGGAGCTCAGAGTCAAGCCGGGGGGTAGTGGGTCGTCGCAGCGCCGCACTGTGTCGGTATCGATAAAGCTTCCCGGCCAACTGGGGGAAAGTGTAAATAGTCGCTGGAATTCAGTCTCCGAACAGCCATGACTGCCGCCGCTTGGTCATCTCATTCACCTCTTTCGAGCACCCGGTGACACGGCCAAAGCCGGATAGCAACACCGAGTCCGTCGCGATGCGGAAGGGAGGCGGCGTCACCACCGAGGGCGGAAGCGGGCGACGGGCCTGCATGTGTAAGAGGGCATGCAATGGACCGCAATGGACCGCAATGGACGAGTCCGATAGGTGCGAATCCCACCTACTCGGTCAGCTAGTCCTGCATGTACCGGTGATGCACCCGTCCATGGCGTGCAGCAGAAAACAGCCCGGAATAGGAAATGCTACCTTGAGGCCTATTCTGTGAGGCTTATTGGCGCAAACACGGCCCTCTCGATTTCTTCTTCTTTGCAAATCTCTGGTTCGTCGTCGCCCTTGTTGTGGTTTTTGAATCCGCCGCCTTCCCTCGAGTTTCTCCTTCTCGGCTCCCCTTTCTGCCGCCCCTTTGACTCGATTCAGCCCTTTCCTTCGCCTTTCCCTCGATTTTCCGCAGCTATTGTGCCTACCTACCTTAACCTACCTAGGTACCTTACCTACCTAGTAGCGAGCGTGAGCCACTTTGGGTTGCTACCGTGGGCGGAGCAAGTGAGCCTCTTCCGGGCCCCCTTCAGGGCTCTGCGGTACCTGTACCTCTGGCCGCGGGACCGGCGGCGTACGGTCAGGTTGTATCTGTAGGTACAGATACGCGCTGCGCAGCGTTGAAGCCACGCGACTGATGAGGCTCCACCTCATTCTTCTCCCCTGCGTGCCCCGGCTGACCCCAACAGATTGCAGCCATCGGCACAGTGCTCGCGTACTGTACTGCACCTACTCTTGCTTACACCCTTTCTTACTACAGCTCGGAAGAAAGACCCTTCCTCCTCAACCTTGCACGAATCCTCCCAAATCGCCCTCCGTCGAAGCCTCCCTTCTCTCCTACAATCGCCCATCCATCCGCCTCAATCGCCCTTGAGCCCTTTCCCACCCTTCTGCCTCCGAGGCTCAACGGCGTGGCGCTCCCCAATCCCGTTCCGGCACGCTCCGCCAGAGCTCTGTCCCTATGACTTTCTTGAGCGCGCCTCAACCCTCTCTGCTCTAGATCCATTCTCCCGCCTCCTCATCTCAACGCTCCTTTGCTCTTTCGTCCTTCCCCCCTCTCCTCGCACTCCATCCCACAGACTGGCACCGCAACCATGGCGCAAGCTGCATCGGGCCCCCAGCAAAACGGCCGGACGGTGCCCGTCAATGGCAAGGCGTCCTACGCCGACAAGCACAGGATCGCAGACCACTTCATCGGCGGCAATGAGCTGGCGAATGCCCCGGCAGGCAAGGTCAAGGATTTCGTCGCCCAGAACGATGGCCACACCGTTATTACAAACGTAAGTCGACGCCTGTCCAACCCTCTTCGTGGCGAGCGGGCCGACGGAGACTCCTCTGGCAATGACACGTTGGCTAACCGTCTTGTGCCCTAACTGAATAGGTCCTTATCGCAAACAATGGCATTGCTGCCGTCAAGGAGATCCGCTCCGTCCGAAAATGGGCGTACGAGACGTTTGGCGACGAGAGGGCCATCCACTTCACCGTCATGGCCACCCCCGAGGACCTACAGGCCAACGCCGACTACATCCGCATGGCTGACCACTATGTCGAGGTCCCCGGCGGCACAAACAACCACAACTACGCCAATGTCGAGCTCATTGTTGACATTGCCGAGCGCATGAATGTCCACGCAGTCTGGGCCGGCTGGTTAGTCGCACATTCGTTCATTTCCCGGACAGGCGAGCGAGGAGAGCTTGAGCTGACACGCGTCACACCAGGGGCCACGCCTCCGAGAACCCAAAGCTGCCAGAGTCGCTGGCCGCCTCCCCCAACAAGATTGTCTTCATTGGCCCCCCCGGCTCCGCCATGAGGTCCCTCGGCGACAAAATCTCCTCCACTATCGTCGCACAGCACGCCAAGGTGCCCTGCATTCCCTGGTCCGGGACGGGCATCCACGAGGTCGAGATCGACGACCAGGACATCGTCACCGTCCCCGACAGGGTATACGCCAAGGGCTGCGTCACCTCGTGGCAGGAGGGCCTGGAAAAGGCAAAGGAGATTGGCTTCCCCGTCATGATCAAGGCCTCCGAGGGCGGCGGTGGCAAGGGCATCCGCCAGGCCACAAACGCCGACGACTTCGAGGCCCTCTACAAGGCGGCCGCCAGCGAGATCCCCGGCTCGCCCATCTTCATCATGAAGCTTGCCGGCAACGCCAGGCATCTCGAGGTCCAGCTGCTGGCTGACCAGTACGGCAACAACATCTCCCTCTTCGGCCGCGACTGTTCCGTCCAGAGGCGCCACCAAAAGATCATTGAGGAGGCCCCCGTCACCATTGCCAAGCCCGACACCTTCAAGGCCATGGAGGGCGCTGCTGTCCGGCTCGGCAAGCTGGTCGGCTACGTCTCCGCTGGCACCGTCGAGTACCTCTACTCGCACGCTGACGACAAGTTTTACTTTCTCGAGTTGAACCCCCGTCTCCAGGTCGAGCATCCCACAACGGAAATGGTCAGCGGCGTCAACTTGCCCGCCGCACAACTCCAGATCGCCATGGGTCTACCTCTGCACCGTATCCGGGACATTCGGCTGCTATACGGCGTCGACCCCAAGGCCTCGAGCGAGATCGACTTTGAGTTCAAGTACGAGGGTACCTCCCAGTCACAGCGCCGGCCGACACCCACAGGCCACACCACTGCCTGCCGAATCACCTCGGAGGACCCCGGCGAGGGCTTCAAGCCTTCCAACGGCGTCATGCACGAGCTCAACTTCAGGAGTAGCTCCAATGTCTGGGGCTACTTCTCCGTCGGAACTCAGGGGGGTATCCACAGCTTCTCTGACAGCCAGTTCGGCCACATCTTTGCCTATGGCGAGAACCGACAGGCCTCGCGCAAGCATATGGTCATTGCCCTCAAGGAACTGAGCATTCGCGGCGACTTTAGGACCACGGTCGAATACCTCATCAAGCTGCTCGAGACGGAGGACTTTGAGGAAAACACAATCTCCACCGGCTGGCTCGACGAGCTCATCTCCAAGAGGCTGACGGCCGAGCGACCCGACGCCATGCTCGCCGTCGTCTGCGGCGCCACCACAAAGGCCCACATTGCCAGCGAGGCCTGCCTGACCGAGTTCCGCGCCGGCCTGGAGAAGGGCCAGGTCCCCTCCAAGGAGACGCTCAAGACCGTCTTCGCCATCGACTTCATCTACGAGGGCTACCGCTACAAGTTCACGGCCACTCGAGCCAGCGCCGACAGCTACCATCTCTTCATCAACGGCTCCAAGTGCTCCGTCGGCGTTCGCGCCCTCAGCGACGGCGGCCTCCTGATTCTTCTCGACGGCCACAGCCACAACGTATACTGGAAGGAGGAGGTGGGCGCAACCCGCCTGTCCGTCGACAGCAAGACGTGCCTCTTGGAACAGGAGAACGACCCGACACAGCTCCGCACTCCCAGCCCCGGCAAGCTCGTCAAGTACGCCGTCGAGAACGGCTCCCACATCAAGGCGGGCCAGACGTTCGCCGAGGTCGAGGTCATGAAGATGTACATGCCTCTGGTTGCCCAGGAGGACGGCATCGTGCAGCTCATCAAGCAACCCGGATCGACGCTCGAGGCGGGCGACATTCTCGGCATACTTGCCCTCGATGACCCAAGCAGAGTCAAGCAGGCCCAGGGCTTTGTCGACAAGCTCCCTCCTTACGGCGACCCCGTCGTCGTCGGAAACAAGGCCGCGCAGCGTTTCGGCGTCCTGCACAACATTGTCATGAACATCCTGATGGGCTATGACAACTCGGTCATCATGGCTCCCTCCCTCAAGGAGCTCATCGAGGTGCTCAGGAACCCCGAGCTGCCCTATAGCGAATGGAACGCCTGCTTCTCCGCTCTACACGCGCGCATGCCCCAGAAGCTCGACTCCCAGTTTGTGCAGATTGTCGAGCGGGCAAAGGCTCGAAACGCCGAGTTCCCGGCCAAGCCTCTGCAAAAGGCACTCCACAAGTTCCTTGAGGAGAGCGTTGCAGAGGGAGACGCCGACTTGCTCAAGACGACCCTCGCGCCCTTGACCGAGATCCTCGACCTGTACGCTGACGGCCAAAAGACCCGAGAGCTCAACTTCATCAAGAGCCTGCTCGAGGCGTACTGGGAGGTGGAGACGCTGTTTGTGAGCCAGGCGCAGAATGACGGCGTCATCCTTAAACTGCGCGACCAGAACAAGGACAATATCGGCAAGGTGGTGCAGACAGTGCTCTCGCACAGCCGTGTCAGTGCCAAGAGCTCGCTCGTGCTCGCCATTCTCGACGAGTACCGGCCCAACAAGCCCAACGTGGGCAACATTGCCAAGTACCTGCGCGATCCTCTCCGCAAGCTCACCGAGCTCTCGTCTCGCGCCACGTCCAAGGTGTCCCTCAAAGCTCGCGAGATCATGATTCAGTGTTCTCTGCCCTCGCTTGAGGAGCGCACTGCCCAGCTGGAGCACATTCTGCGGTCGTCTGTGATCGAGTCGCGGTATGGCGAGAGCGGCTGGGACCATCGCGAGCCCAGCCTCGACATAATCAAGGAGGTCGTCGACTCCAAGTACACTGTCTTTGACGTGCTCCCCCTTTTCTTCGCCCACGAAGATGCCTGGGTCGCGCTGGCGTCGCTCGAGGTGTACGTCCGCCGCGCGTATCGTGCCTACATCCTCAAGCAGATCGAGTACCACAACGACGAGACGGACTCGCCGCTCTTCGTTTCTTGGGACTTTCAGCTGCGCAAGATTGGCCAGTCCGAGTTTGGGCTTCCGCTTCAGTCTGCGGCGGCATCGACGCCCGGCACCCCCAGCACCTCGGATCTCGGTGTCAAGCGGATCCACTCCATCAGCGACATGTCCTACCTCAGCAGCAAATGGGAGGAGGAGCCGACGCGCAAGGGCATTATTGTTCCTTGCAAGTACCTCGACGACGCCGAGGAGCTCATCCAAAAGGCCCTCGAGACCCTTGCCTTCTACAACAAGCAGAAGAAGCAGCACAATGGCACACAAATCCTCGCCGATCTCTCGGGCAAGCGCAAGCCGTTCAGTGCGGTCAAGCGGGACGCCAAGAAGGACGACGAGCTGTCCGCTGTCATCAACGTGGCTGTGCGGGACGCCGAGAGCCGCGACGATGAGGAGATTATGACCCGGATCCTTCCGATTGTCCAGCACTACAGGAGCGAATTGCTCGTCCGTGGCGTGCGGCGCCTCACCTTTATCTGCGGCCACAGCGACGGCTCCTACCCCGGATACTACACGTTCCGAGGCCCGGAGTACGAAGAGGATGACAGCATTCGTCACAGCGAGCCCGCCCTGGCCTTCCAGCTGGAGCTGGGACGTCTTGCCAAGTTCCACATCAAGCCCGTCTTCACGCAGAACAAGAACATCCACGTGTACGAGGCGGTTGGCAAGGCCGTCGACACGGACAAGCGATACTTTACTCGCGCCTCCATTCGACCGGGCCGCCTTCGCGACGAGATCCCCACCGCCGAGTACCTCATCTCCGAGGCCGACCGTGTCATCAACGACATCTTCGACGCGCTCGAGATTATCGGCAACAACTCGTCGGATCTGAACCACATCTTCATGAACTTCACCCCGGTCTTCCAGCTGGACCCGATGCAGGTCGAACAGAGTCTTCAGGGCTTCTTGGACCGCTTCGGCGCCCGGGGCTGGAGGCTGCGTGTTGCCCAGGTCGAGATTCGCATCATCTGCACAGACCCGACGACCAGCACGCCGTACCCTCTCCGCGTCGTCGTCACCAACACGTCGGGATACATTGTTGACGTCGACATGTATGCTGAGCGCAAGTCGGAAAGGGGCGAGTGGGTATTCCACAGCATTGGCGGGACCAAGGAGAAGGGCCCGCTGCACCTGCTCTCCGTCTCGATCCCCTACGCAACCAAGAATGCCCTGCAGCCCAAGCGGTACAAGGCTCACCTGATGGGAACCCAGTACGTCTACGACTTCCCCGAGCTCTTCCGCCAGGCCATCCAGAACACTTGGGTCAAGGCGGCCAAGAACCAGCCCGCCCTCCTGTCGCAGCAGCCCAAGGTCGGCGAGTGCATCAGTTTTACGGAGCTGGTCCTGGACGACAAGGACAGCCTCGAGGAGGTCAACCGAGAGCCCGGCACCAACACTTGCGGCATGGTCGGCTGGGTCTTCAAGGCCCGCACCCCCGAATACCCCGCGGGTCGCCGCTTCGTCGTCGTGGCCAACGACATCACCTACAAGATCGGGTCCTTTGGACCAACGGAGGACAACTTTTTCAATAAGTGCACTGAGTTGGCCCGCAAGCTGGGCATCCCGCGCGTCTACCTCTCTGCCAACTCTGGCGCCCGCCTGGGCTTGGCCGACGAGCTGATGCCGCATTTCAAGGTCGCCTGGAACGACCCGACCAAGCAGGAGGGTGGCTTCCGCTACTTGTACCTGGACGAGAAGACCAAGGAGAGCTTCAAGGACGAGGTTGTGACTGAGGAGATTTCTGAGGGTGGCGAGAAGCGCCATAAGATCATCACGATTATCGGTCAGGAAGACGGCCTTGGTGTTGAGTGCCTGCGAGGCTCGGGCCTCATTGCTGGCGCGACCAGCAGGGCCTACAACGACATTTTTACGGTGACGTTGGTCACCTGCCGGTCTGTTGGTAAGTACCGAGGCTCTTGCTACGCCTCGGACGAGGTGCTATCGATTGGATTCACTAACGCAATGCCAGGCATTGGTGCCTACCTCGTTCGTCTAGGACAGCGAGCTGTTCAGATCGAGGGCCAGCCCATCATCTTGACCGGTGCTCCCGCTCTGAACAACCTGCTCGGTCGCGAGGTGTACACGTCCAACCTGCAGCTCGGTGGCACGCAGATCATGTACAGAAACGGTGTTTCCCACATGACTGCAAATGACGACTTCGCCGGCGTCTCCAGGATCGTCGAATGGATGTCGTTTGTCCCCGAGAAGCGCAACGGGCCCGTCCCCGTCAGCCCGAGCGCCGACGACTGGGACCGCGACATTGCGTACTGTCCGCCGCAGAAGCAGCCGTACGACGTCCGGTGGATGATCTCTGGCAAGCACGATGAGGACGGCAGCTTCCAGAGCGGTCTCTTTGACAAGGACTCGTTTGTCGAGACGCTAGGCGGCTGGGCCCGCACCGTTGTCGTCGGTCGCGCTCGTCTGGGCGGCATCCCGATAGGCGTGATTGCCGTCGAAACCCGCACGGTGGAGAATATCACGCCAGCGGATCCCGCCAACCCCGACTCGATCGAGCAGCTGAGCAACGAGGCCGGCGGCGTGTGGTACCCCAACTCGGCCTTCAAGACGGCCCAGGCGATCAACGACTTCAACAATGGCGAGCAACTGCCCCTGATGATCCTGGCCAACTGGCGAGGCTTCTCGGGCGGTCAACGCGACATGTACAACGAGGTGCTCAAGTACGGATCCCTCATCGTCGATGCGCTGGTCAAGTTTGAGCAGCCCATATTTGTCTACATCCCGCCGTTTGGTGAGCTGCGCGGCGGCTCGTGGGTCGTCGTCGATCCGACCATCAACCCGACGGCCATGGAGATGTACGCCGACGTGGAATCCCGAGGTGGCGTGCTCGAGCCGGAGGGCATGATCGGCATCAAGTTCCGCAAGGAGAAGCAGCTGGAGACGATGGCGCGCATGGACCCGACGTACGCTGGCTTGCGGAAGCAGCTTGATGAAAAGAAGCTGTCGCCCGAGGAAGCGGCCGAGGTCAAGAAACAGATGGTGGCACGGGAGAAGCAGCTACTGCCCGTGTACGCGCAAATTGCCGTGCAGTTTGCCGACCTGCATGACCGCGCGGGGCGCATGAAGGCCAAGGGCGCCGTCCGCGACGTGCTCGAGTGGACGGGGGCCCGCCGATTCTTCTACTGGCGCCTGCGCCGTCGTCTCAATGAAGAGTACATCCTCAAGCGCATGACGTCGAGCGTGCTGTCGCAGGCAAAGGAACAGAGCACAGCCAAAGCTAGCGACGTCCGGGCGCGGAACCTGCATCTGCTGGCGAGTTGGTCGCGCGTCGTGGGCTGGGAGCGCAACGACAGGGAGGTTGCGGAGTGGTACGAGAGGGAACGCAAGACGATTGGCGACAAGGTAGAGGCGCTCAAGGCGGACAAGCTCTCGGTGGAGGTGGCGGAACTGGTGCGAGGACACAAGGAGGCCGAGTGGAAGGGAGTGCGCGAGACACTTAGGGTCATGCCCGTGGAGGAGCGCGAGGCGATTCTCAAGTATCTCAAGGAATGAAGGGAAGTACTGAAGCGGAGAGAAGGTTTGTTACTGTGTCAAAGTTTTTTTATTTGTGTCATGTATACCTGTTTATGCCGAGCAGAGACGGGGGATGTACGGGAGGCGTCCTGTTTAACGGGCTTGGACTTTTGTTAGAGCAACCAGATAGACGACACGATTGTTGAAGATTAAAATTGCCTACCACTATCAAACAGTAGCAGGCTTGATGTGTGTGACGGCTCGCTCAGGGCTTAATATTGTACAATTTTGGAGGATTAGAGGCGCAACTGGCCTGGGCTTGTACAAGGATATAGTAGTTAATTACATGTCCTGCCATTCGGTATGTCTACCATGACGCTGCTGCACGCCAGGCTTCCAGGGGAACGTTCAAGTCAAGCTTGGCCGTGGCCGCCCTCATGGAGTCTCGTTTCGCCCCGCGCCACGGCATGAAGTGAATGTTTTCTGTTTTGTTGGCTGAGGACATGTGGTCAAGGGTCGTCGGCCGGGGGCACCGAGGTGCGGATCTGCAGGCCGTGCCAGGACTTGACGAGGTCGCCGAGGGCGGCGTTGACCATGCGCTGCTGCTTGAGGAGGGAGTGGCCGCGGAAGAGGGGCGAGGCGATCTGGATGGCGTACATGCTGCCGCAGCCGCCCGAGACGTCCTGGACGAGGAGGCTGGTGGGCTGGAGCTTGGCGGCGAGGAGGACGGCGACGGAGCGCTCGGCGGGGGTCATGGAGGCATCTTGGTCGGGGGGTTGCTGCCGCTGTTGGCTTGAGGAGGAGGAGGAGGAGGAGGAGGATGAGAGCTTGTGTTGGGCGGAAGAGACGAACTGGAGGGAGCCCGGGGGAATGGGCGAGGAGGATGTGGATGTGGACGGGGCTGAGGCTGAAGAGAGGAGGATTGCGGCGGGGCGAGGAAATGGCGAGAGGAGGCGAGGGCCCAAGGAGGCCACGGCGCGGCGCATCGTGGCTGATCGAGGGTGGTCACCAAGAGTGACGGTCGATGAGGGATGGAAATGCCTGGTTGGCGATGCTGCAGCGACTTGCAGTTTTGCCCGCCGCCGGCTCCGAGGCCCGGGTTCGGAGGCGCTGCGGCCGGAGATTTGCCGGCATGGACATGATGCACCGCACGCCCATCTGGCCCCGAGCTACGGGGTGTCTACGCATGAGTGATTATTTCCAGAAAGCGATTAATACATAAAATACACCAAGAAGCAGAGACTTTGTTTCGGGCATGTCTGTTTTGAACTTGTTCCCTTGCGCTTCGTTGACTGGGTTGTCCTCCGTGGCGGATGTGGACAGCTGGTTCAAGGTGGCAGCAGCTGATGGATTCAGAGTGAACATCTCTTCGGACATTCTATTGGGTAAACAAATATTTCTCTAGGAAAACAGCTGATTCTCCTGGCCATTGTTGGTCGCTTGCACTTGCCGGAGTGAATCATCGACAGTGACTGAATGGCTATGAATGGGCCGATGCCTCTATTGGGGGAGCCAATAGAGGCGCGGACCCCCGCGCCTTTAAAGTCGGCGCGGACGTCCGCGCCTGTTATGTAAGCCTGGCAGGCCATTTGGGCCGCCGCCAACTGCGCTCGCAGTCGGCCTCACCGATACAGCATGCTTGCTGCATACATATAGCTTCAATTAATTGCAAAGGAGGATATCCCTTAGGGTTCGAACCCATAGCCTTCCCTATTTGGTAGATTGACGTGACGCAAAGGGCGCCGCTGTTGCGTGGCAAGGGAGGGTGCGCGGAAGTTCACCGCCTTAAAATTGGCCAGCTACAGTGCTACACGCCGGTGCATGTCGGTGATCTCACGATCTGCCTCACATTTTCGCATCGCCGGCATCATCACCACTTATATATGTGAATAAAATGCCTGCTGTTCCTCTGAGTCTCTCTCGCAGTCAGCCCATATACCTGCAGTACCTCTTTCTCGTGAGAAAGGCTGCACCTGAATTTCCTCGGCCACCCGGGCATCTAATCGCTCTTCTTCTGCCTTATCCCAATCAAGGTATGCCATCATCTCTACCTTGGTCCATTGCCTCGAGCCGCAGCTCCTTGACATTTGCTTCCAGTCGAGGCACCAGTCATATTCAGTCTTGCTGTAGCGCAATGGCAAGCCCATTGCCTTTCGGTATGCCTGGTTGGTCTTGAGACTGCCGCGAGGCTGTGCTCTATACCAAGAGTCTCTTTCCTGACATACCTCTGATAGATGGCTCGTGGGTCATCATATAATAGATTCTCTGTAGTCTCTGTAGTCTCTGCAATTGCTGTAGAGACTGTAGAGACCGTAGTGACTGCAACTGTCATTTTCTCCATGACTGCTGCAGTCTGCGCAGTCTCTGGAACTGCTACCGTCTGTACAGTCTGTGCAGTCTGTGCAGTCCCTGCAATTGCTGCAGTCTCTGCAGTCTGTGCCGCCCGTGCCTCTGCCCGCTGCAGTATGTCGCTATAGCGTAAAGGACAATTGCGAGATGTCATGATGTGCCCTTGCTGGTGGCATTTGCTGCATGTAGGCGGCGCCTTTGGCCGTAGATCTGACTCTATGGCTTCAAATGCACTTGGCTCGCGCTGTGTGGATGACTGTGATATCCTTGATGCGGCGACAAGTTGGTCTAGTCGCCGACGAGGCTCTATGAGGACCTGACCAATCTCTTTGTTATCCCGTCGAAGGCGCCAATGTGTATGAAAATGTTGTAGCCGGAGGGGCAGATCTTCCACTATGAGAGACTGTAATGCGTGCGCACAAGGGAGACCGCGAGACTTGGTGAAGCTGCCTGTGCAAGATGGGGTGTTTTTCTCGTTGAGGCGCTTGTGTTGCTTTGCAACCTGTCGCAAGGCTTCGTGTGATACCCAGCCACGTACCGTGCTATATACGGTTCCAGAGAGCTCAATTGGCATCCGTATATGCTGCCTGGCTTGGTTGGCTTGTAGCTCGGCCAGTTGGTTGAGGAGAGCTTGCTTGATTGCCCTCGTTGCCTCGAAGAGGTCTAATGTTGACTTCTTAAGGTGACTCTTCAATAATGCGTGGATGCCTTCCACCCGGAAGTAGCCACATTGCCGAAGTGAGCATATTGATCGACCCAGGCCTTGACGAGCTTTTCCTTATACGGGTCCAACCAGGTTTCCGTATGTAGCTAACCTCCTTGACGTATCGTGGCACAAAGCGCTTCTCGAGCTCTTCAACTTGTTGATCAAATGTCTCTCATCTTTCGAGCCCACGATTGAGTGCCAATACCCAAAGAACTCAGCCCACCTCTCATCACTATTAGAGTCCTCATCGTCACGGTCGAAAGCTGGTTTGCAATAGCTAAGCACCGCCTTATTCGCATGCCAGATGCAAAGCAGAGACTTGGACGCAGGAAAGCACCGGAAATTGCGTTTATGCAGGCGAGGCAGCGATCTGTCAGGATAACCGATGGCTGGCGAATGTCATATAACTCGTATATCGATTGGAGTTGGTCCAGTGCCCAGATATAGTCATTTTCGTCTTCACCACTGAGGAAGGCAAAGGCAATACAGAATGACCGCTGACAGGCATCAACGCCGATCATATCGAGCAGTGGCATCTTATATTTGTTCGTCTTGTATGTGCAGTCTAGCAGTAGTAATTCTGGGTATGCGTTGAGGTATCCTAGAGACGCTGGGTGTGCGAATAAGACTGCTGTGACTCGGCCATCATGATCAAGCTGTATGCGGCTCTGGAACCCCTCGTTGTCAAGCTCATTGGCAAGGGCATGCATTGTGCTCTGGCCAGCAAGGAGCTCTCGTCTGCGCTGTGCGATACAGTTATATATGTCTTGCTGTGTCGCTCCTTGGGCAGTCTGAGAGCTCTGGCGCATATATGTCCGGATATCCTTTGGTGCTATGCCAGCGCTTGAGAGGTTCCCAATAGCTGACTGGTCAGTTGAGGAGAGGGCACGATGAGCTGGATGTGCTGTAATATGCAGACTGGGCTCATGGTTGTGGACCGACTTCTCCTCGCCTGGGCGATGCCTGACATACCAGTACGACTTATCAAGGCTCTCTTTCGCATTGATGGAAAACTGGCATCCAGTGATACGGGAGCTTGTAGACCGTTGCCGATCAGCTGGCTTCTGGTCCTTGCTTGTATGAGCCCCAAGTCTACCTCCACGATCGCAGGCAAATATGACTGTGCGTCTTCCGGACCGCGGGTCTCGTGGACTTGCCTGTGGTGAAGGCATAGCCTCTGGAGCCGCCCACGCATTAATTGAGGCAAGAAGAGACTCTCGCGAGTCGAACTGGCCCTCAGGAGGAAGGCAATCGTCAGGAATTCAGTAAGCCCCATATTGGAATTATCTTGAAGAGCTAGCTGTAGTGCACGACAGTGAGCAGCTCTTTATACACAAAGGAAAGGAAACTCCTGCTTTGTGGACGTGGTGCAGAACCCTTGTAACCGAGGCCGCCTGCGAGGTTTAATGCAGCCTGCGTTTGAGCTTTGGCCTCAATGGGGTCCAAGCACCACGCATGCAGGCGCTCGACCTTAATATGCGGATTATAGCATCGCTTCCGCGGACAACTACTCTGAGCGCAGATGGTATGCTATATGAGGCTGGCTCTCTGTGCGACAGTTTGCCACATGCAATAGAAAAGGAGAGTACAGGTCAGGGGGCGGCCCGACTATCTTCCGCCTGGGCTTACATAACAGGCGCGGACGTCCGCGCCGACTTTAAAGGCGCGGGGGTCCGCGCCTCTATTGGCTCCCCTCTATTGGGACTGCCTTAGTCAGCCTCGCCGGTGGGCATAAATGCAGCTCGTTCCGCAGCTTCATCCCATCTCCATCTTCAGCTTCAACCTCGGCTCCTTCTCCATCCTCAGCTACTACATCGACTTTGCTCCATCTTCAGCTTCGTCTCTACCCCATCCAAATATTCATCCTTGTTTTCCCAACTCGAATACCGTCGCCTTTATCCTTGCTCAGCCTCTGCTCCAACGACTTGGCTCACGGACAATCGCTTGCCACAGCGGCTCACGGAGCCCTTCCAAGGAAAAGTATCCGGCGGCTACAGAGTGCACTGGCTCTGCCGCCAGGGCCACAGTCGTCGAGAACGAGCTTGCCAGGCAATGCGGAACTGGCTCTAGCAAATGCATCACCAGGACTGAGAAAATTCTCTCTGCAACATGGTTACGTCTCTGTCCGTCCGTCTAGTCAGCTGACTCGCTCGGCTGCTTGACTGCGCAACCATCCGTCTGGTCGTCTGGTCGTCCGTTTGGTGGATTCTTGGTTCGAAGTTGCACGACCGACCGGCAAGATGGCCTTTGCATTGGACATTGTTATCCATGGCGACGACCTGACAGCAAGGTGTCCGAAGAAGCAGCGGTCGGGACATGTACAATACTTTCCTGTTTTCTCGCTCGTTTGGGAGCTTGTTGATGCCCCCTTCGTCACCCACTCGGCACTGTTGCCCGCGTGAATCCCGGACTGAATTGACCTCGTCCTTGGCGCATTGCAGTCAAAACCTGTCAGGATATCTTCCGTGGCAAGCAAGTTAAACAGAACAGCGACGAGCGAGACCCTGGATACCAACAGCACTTTATTGGTTGGCCAAGTCCCATTGGGAGGGTGACAACTTGGCTGATTGTCCTGCACTCTCGCAGATAGGCCATCAATCATGTCAAAACACTCAACTACATCATCGACAAGATCTTCTCGGAACCCACCATCCCCGAAATGCTTCGAGTTCTGTACGGGAGAATGAAACACTGACAACG